AGAAAGCATATCACGCTCTTTAATGGAATTCGAGACTTTTATAAATTGAAGAACAACTCGATCCATATTGTCTTACCTAATTCATTAATGGCATGACAAGCAAAATTCTTCAACTTAAAATGTAGGTGTCATGAGGTACGAAAAATGCTAGAGGCTACACCGATCACTACATGGCTCACGGTCCATACAAATAATAGTTGGGTATGGCATCTCAAATGCCCATCTCCTTTTCTTTGGAAAAATTTTAACGAGGAGTGTTTCTTCTAGAATTGTTGCGACGAGGTTAACTTTAAGAGACATCACATTTTTAAATACAACGATCGCCTCAACATCGATCATGCCCTCGATCGATGGCAACAATACCGGTCTATATATTGCTAGTGCTAAAATTCGAAGTCTAACTCGATTATCAAGATCTTATAAGTGCTTCATAAATTATGCTTGGAGAGTGACCCAAAACCAACCTAGAGATTGACCCCTCCTCACTAGTTGTTTTTTTAGCTAAAGTGGGATCAATTTTGATTAACCAATCAAAATTTGATGGACCTTGTTCAAACGAACAATAGAAGTAAACAACCTCTATTTTAGAAAATGCTAATAGAGCCTTATATTCTTCAAGCATAAGTGACAAGTCTACACTTTCGAAGGTAATGCAATGATAATCTAGGTCCCGATGTCCGATCATAGCTTGAAAACATACGATCCGAGCCTTAATCTTGAACGGATAAGCTATGTCACCATATGTCTTTTAAAAGTTAAATTTGTCATGGAGAGTGAGCATCTCCTAATAACTAAATAGTGGACTAATGTCTTATCAACTAAATTAGCCCTTTACGGTAATCTCGATAAAAAATTCGAGGGCGAGATAATCTCCTTCATCATTTTGGGCCCGCTCGGATCTAATCTTAAAATCCTCGACTTTATTTTGGACTTCTTCTGTTATGATTTAATATGAAGGACAACCTACGAAAATCAAGGGTTAAAACATACATCATTTGAAAATGGGGTTACAACATACATCATTTGAAAATGATTCATGTCTTAATTGGTCAAGCCTAGTAGACGAAATTTATCTTTTTTATGTTTAGGCAAAGCTTGTCTAATCCTAAAGATTTTTCAAGTTTACGAAGCTGTCCAAATTAACGAGTGGGGTAATTCAGCCTCTAACCTTATACATTAGGAGGTAGGGGAAGATTATTCCATTATTTTCTATGCATAGCGTGAGTTACGGTTCAAACGAGAGTCCGAAAGAACATCGGTAGACTTTCGTCATACTTGCTTATAAATCTCTCTATCTAAATCATATCAAGGTTTATCTCGGGTCTAGAGCTTTTGTACGTTTCCTTCATGGTGTGTGCGGTAATTCAAATAAAAACATACAACCTAGTTAAAAAATAATTATGTAGCAAAAAAAATAAAAATAAATTACAAGCAAATAAATTATAGAAATTTAAAGATATACAATGAATAAATAAATAATAAATTGATAAAAAAAATAAATACATGATATAAATTAAATAGATTAAACCTATGGCCTAACTCTAAGTTCTCGGTGGAGTTGTCATTCTGTCATTACTCGACGTTGAACGGGACTTCGAAAATATCTAAATTTCTATGTTATAGAGTTAGATTTTATTTACTATTTCATTAATTTTATTAAAAATTCGAAGTCGCCACCTAGTATTTAGGAATTAAAAACTTAAAAACTACACTAGTTTAAAAATTCTATGGTAAGGAGTTGGTTACATTTTTGGAAAAATATTTATTCACCCAAAAGTGCTCTTTCCTAAGAAATGTACCATATCTAGATTAGTCTTAAATTTATCTCCTAAAAGGTTTTATTTTTGTCAAATTATTTTCCGATTTTAAACTTCAATATTTGAAAGCTAAATTAAATTTTTTTAGTTTTAAGCATGGCATCGTATTGAAATGATCATCGATCCTCTTCATCGAACGACATGTCAATTCAAACATCGGATCCACTTTAAGTCTCGACGGAATAGATGTGTCGAGAGGACATCCCGATTATGATTTTGGTAACGGCGGCCACTAATCGGTTAGGAGACCTCGTCACGAAATTTTATTTTTGGTCAAACGACGGTCCCTATCATATAGCGAGACTTCGTTGAGAAATTTTTTTATTTTTAAACGAAAATCCCTATCGGATAGGAAACCTCGTTAAAGATTTTTGATATTTTTATTTTTTTATCAATTTTTTATATTTTGGTGAAAGATTGTTATCGGTGCTTAAAGAGTTAAGAGACTTGACAATCCTCTATATACTACTTCCTAAGCCTAATTACTTAAACAAATAAGTTAAAGTTATATCAATTAAGAAAATTAAAGGTAATTCAAATATTGAAATCAAAATTAATAATAAAACATACGTAAAATACAAAGAAGATTAAAATTACATGAATTAAAGTAATTACTTTAATTAGAATGATTGAAAGCAATTAAATATCTAAAATAAATATAAAACACTAAGCATGCACAAAATTTAAGTTATAATCAAACATTTTTTCTTCTTTTTTCGTCTTATTTTTCCTTCTTCCCTACTCCCTTTTTTTTTTTAATTTTTCCTTTTTTCCTACTCCTATTTTTTAATCATTTTTTTGTTAATTATTTTTTAGGGAGAGGTTGGATGACTTCTTTACGTTTTTTTTTAATAATGAAAGAGGGGTAAGGGAGGAGAGGTAGAGGTGGGCCTCTTTTTTTCTTTAGAGAGGCTAGGCTGTAGCGGGGATTAGGCTCGGCCCAACTCGCACCCCTTTTTTTTTTTTTATACTCTAGGCCGAACTCAAGTCTAGAAACAAGTCTAGTAACCACATTCTTTTCATTTTTCAATCAATATACCCTTTTTATCTAGTTCGACCCCCCTCCTCTCTTGTTCTTTGAGTTCACTATCTCTCTATAATTTATAGTTTTCTCTAGAATTGAAGCCCCATTTTAGACAAACAATTTAGCTAGCATATCATTTTCCTATTCCTATTTCGATTATGAACCAATCTTGGAAACTTTAACCAATAACTAATAATATTTGGAATGATCAATAAACAAATCAAGACTAATAAAAGAAAAAAAAAGAAAAGAAAAACAATAAACCAATAACTAACAATATTTGGAGTGATCAACAAATGAATCAAGACTGAAAAAAGAAAGAAAAGAAAGAAAAGAAAAACAATAAAAGCTACTTGAACTGGTGAATTTGATGATGGTTATTCAAGGATTGATTTTAAGTGAATTTGAGATCCTTAATTGTTTCGGGATAGTTAGATCACATCTAGAATCCACAAATTAAGGTCGAAAGTTGATTAGATGTTGGAATGAAACTAGGAAGCGACTTATGAACATGAAGAATCGAACTTAGAAATTTAAGAACACCTTCGATGGCTACCTAACAATCCGAAGAAGAAAATCCCACGAGTGGAAGAATTGAACCCCAAATTTCAACGAGTAAGGTTAAGAAACCCGTAAGGATGGAAAATTAGCTCAAAAGAAACCAAAACAAAAAATTAAAAGGGATGACGAGATGAAGAAACAAAACCCAAAAACTTAAGAACACTCAACCCAAAACTAAGAAAAAAAAAACCCAAAAATGCAAAAGCTGAAAAATCCAATTTTGTGAATTTCAAACCCCTTTTCTTTGTTTTCACTCTCCCTCACAAGTCGAAATCTCTCCTATTGTGTTTTTGATCTCCCCTCTTCAAACCAGAATTCTAAAACCTTTTATAGCCAATGTTAGTTTGAATTTCATCCCAAATGTAGCTACCTTTGAATTTAAATTTTAGTCGTCAAATTTAAACTCAAATTTCAGTAATTAGATTTTGAATTTGATCATTTAAACACAATCAAAAATTCAAAAAATGATTAAAAGGATTGGATAGATTTTCAATTGAATTTTGGAGGGATTCTAGAGTAGAAATCGAGGTTGGAGTGAACGATAAGTTGTTCACTTAATTTTAGTCTTGTCGTTCACTTCAACATTCTATTTTAGTCCTTGCGAATCTCAATTATCCGTATTCATGCCCATTTTTGCATAATTTCAGTCATGTAAAAATTAGTTTTTATCAATTGGATCCCAGAGGATAGTAATTCAAGTACTCGAATTTCTTAATTGACTCAATAGTACCCCTAAATATTTTAATTACATTTTTTTTATGCAATTGTGTCCTTGATGAAAATTTTGTGTATATATATATATATATTGTATTTTTATTTTTGTTATTCTGAAATATTTCAACTAAAATAAAAATGGTAAAATGGAAGTGATTTTTTCTATTATGACATGCAATCTCTTCAGCTCCACCCATTTCAAAGAAGTGAGAAGAAGTGCCTAATGATAGTGACGTTGTCGTCGTCACTAGGCAGAATACTCTAAAACCTAAAGGTTTCACTCGTGTTCGTCATGTTAGCTAGATAAAGGAAGGAGAGGAGTTTTGAGGGCTGAGAGAGGTTGGGATTTAGTTTTAATCGACTTAATTTTAGGGTTTGGGGTTTCGAATGGGAACCCATAAAGAGTTAGGGTCTCTCATTTGAATAGATAGAACAAGGCTTAGTTTAAAATTGGAAAATAGGTTTAGATTCGGGAGGAGGAGAAAATTGGTGGATTTTTAGGAGATTGGCCTAGCAAATTGAAGAAGAACAAGGTTAGGGTTCTAGTGAGGGTATGAGAAGATGAAGTAGAAGAATTTAGGATTGAAAGAGGAGAAGAGGAGATCAAATGCTTTAGTGGAGAATTGAGAAAGAGAGAAGAAAAAAGGGAACAAGAGGGAGATGAGTTCTTAGAAAGGGAACAGAGGAGATCAAATGCTTTAGTGGAGAATTGAGAAGAGAGAAAAAGGCAAACGAAGAGGGAATGAGAGAGGAGAGTTTCTAAAGGAAGACGGGGAAGAGGAATGAGAAAGGGAGAGATGAGATCGGTAGTTTGATCCAAAATGAATTAGGATTAAATGCTAATTTTGTTTTCGAATCGAAAGTTAGTATAAGCTAGAGATAAAATGAAGGGAGAGTGGGTTGGGCTTGGCCCGACCTACGTAAGGCTGGACTATGCTGATCCTAGCTTACTCCGGCCTCGTAAAAAAAGTAAAAAAGCTTGGATCAGGCTGATCCTAGCTCGAAAAAAAAAAAAAGAATAAGGGAGAAGAAGATGGGATGCTAGGGCCGGTCTAGTTGGCTTGGCCCGATGGGTTGAAGGCTCACCGATCCCAACGGGCCTAATGTTCTAAATTTAAGGGCTTTTTTTTTTTTTTAAGATTAACCTTAAATTCAGTTTATGCATCCTTGCTATTTTTATTATTTTGTTTTATGTTTAATTTTTTGAATTTTTTTTTTTGAATTTCTTTAATTAATGTTAATTTTAGAATTTATTTTAGTAATTAGGTTAGATGATTAATGGGTGGAAGAATTATCGAGTCTTCTAATTTTTAGGAACTAATGATAATTTTCTACCAAAAAATAAAAATATAAAATATAAAAAAAGAAAAAGAATGTTAGGAAAAAAATTACTTCAATAATTAAATTAGCTAATTAATAGGTGGACAAATTATCGAGTTTTCTAATTTTTAGGGACGGATGATAGTTCCCCATCAAAAAAAAATAAAAAATATATGTATAATAACAAAAAATGCAAGAGAGAGAGAGAGAGAGAGAGAGAGAGAGAGAGGAGCATTACGAAAAAGCGAGAGAGAAAAAAAAACTCTTAACAAAGTTTGCTATATAATAGGGACTCGTTGTTAAGCAAAAATCATTTTAGTAATTAGGGTGTTCTTCGATACACCAATTGCATCGAGACTTAAAGTAGATTTGATATTTGAATTGATGTATCTTCTAACGAAGGAATTTGACCATTGGTTCAATACAATATCACAAACAAAAAAATTAAAAACTTAGTTTGAGATAAAAAAAAATTAAAAATTAAAAATTTCAACTGAAGTTAATTTTGGAAAAAATAAAAATGTTTAGTAGATAAAGTATATGACTAAAGTAGAGTGATACCTTTCTTAGGAAAGGATGCCTTTGGATGATTAATATTTTTTCAAAAGTGTAACCAACTCGTTATTCTAAAATCTTTGAATCAATACTTGTTTTAGATTTTATGTTTCTCAAATATTAGGTAGCAACTTTCAAAATCAATAATCACTCACATCTTCGTAATAAATCTAAAAAAATCTTAAATATTAAAATTTTTTAGAGTCCCATCACATGTCGGGTAGTGAAAGCGAGAATAATATCTTACTAAAACAAGTACTTAAGTGATTTTAGTTCCAATGCAACACATGTCGTTTATAATAAAAAAAATTTATATGTTTAATCTCATAGTATATATAACAAAACAACCTTATTACAATGCATGCATTGTTATATATATATATATATATATATATATATATATATATATATATATATATATATATATTCTCACAATCATGAAGTAATACGTAATTTAAGAAATAATGATAAATTTTTAGGATGCTAGAAGTAAATGTAATTAACGGTTCATTACTCCTCACAACTTGTTATAAAGTGAATATATAACACCTTTTCCTTTTGTTTTTGGTATAACAACACACTTTACGTACCTTTCTAAAATAATAATGTATTTTTCAAGTCACAATTATATTTTACTCAATATATTTTTCGTAACTAATTAATTACAATATAATTAAATAAGCTATAAAATTATAAGATAAAATTTTAGAACATAATAAGAAATTTTTAAACATAATTTTAAGAAATTATAATAGGGTTTTAATCCTAATTTATATGTGTATTTTTTAAATTGGATTTCTCTGTTATTTTTTTTTTTTTGGTTTGATTGAGTTCTTATACATTATGTAATGTTTATATCTAATGTCATTTCCTGTCCGAGTTAAAAGTTTATAAAATTGAACTAATAGATGATTAATTGACACATGTCCATATAAAAATAATAATTTAAAATAAATTTTAATTTTCTTGTATAAATGAAAAAAGAAATTCAATAGTCTTAATTAAAATCAACCTCTAATACAAAGTTTAACCCACGTAAGGTCGGATCTGGGTTGATCCTAGCCTAGTCCAGCTCGAAAAAAAAATGGCTTAGGCTGTGCTAGGCTAGCCTGAAAATTATTAATTAAAAAAAAAAAAAGGAGAAGAAGATGGGATGTTAGGCCCAGATCAATGGGCTTGGCCCAATGGGTTGAGGACCCATCGATCCCAAAAGGCTTGCTCTAATTTTAAGGCTTTTTTTATTTATTTTAAGATTAACCATGAATTCATTTTAAGCATGTTTGCTATTTTTATTATTATGTTTTATGTTTAATTAATATTTAATTTTTTGAATTTTATTGAATTTATTTCATTAATGTTAACTTTGTTATTTATTTCGAGTAATTAGGTTAGGTGATTAATAGGTAGATAAATTATCGAATCTCTTAATTTTTAATGTTTGATGATGATTCCCCATTGACAAAAAATAAAAATAAAAATAAAAAAAGGAGAAAAAGAATGTCGGAAAAAAAATTTACTTCAATAATTAGATTAGGTAATTAATAAGTAGACAAATTGTCGAGTCTCTTAATTTTTAGAGATTGATGATAGTTCTCCATCGAAAAAAATAAAAAATATATATGGAATAACAAAAAATGATGAGAGAGAGAGAGAGAGAGAGAGGAGTATTAGGGAAAACAAAGAAAGAAAAAAAAAGGAGAGAGAAAAAAACTTTAATAATTCTCACAATCATAAAGTAATAAGTAAATTTAGGAAATAATGATAAATTTTTAGGATGCGAGAAATAAATGAAATTAACGGTTCATGATACTTCTAAAAACTTGTATAAAGTGAAGACATAACACACTTTCCTTTTGTTTTTGGTGTAACAACACACTTTACTTACCTTTCTAAAATAATAATGTATTTTTCAAGTCACAATTATATTTTAGTCAATATATTATTTGTAATTAATTAATTACAATATAATTAAATAAGCTATAAAATTATAAGATAAAATTTAAAACATAATAAGAAATTCTAATAGGGTTTTATATCCTAATTTATATGTTTATTTTTTGAATTGGATTTCTTTGTTATTTTTGGTTTGATTGAGTTCTTATACATTATGCAATGTTTATAAATAATGTGATTGCCTCTCAGAGTTAAAAGTTAGTCCGTAAAATTGAACTAATAGATGATTAATTGACACATATACATTTAAAAATAATAATTTAAAATAAATTTTACTTTTCTCGTATAAATGAAAAAATAAATTCATTATTCTTAATTACAATTGGGTTTCATTCCTTAACTTATATATATATATATATATATATATATATTAAAAGTTTTAATATATATATATATATATATATATATATATATATATATATATATATATATATATATATATATATATTAAAACTTTTAAATTGGACTTTTTGAAAGGCACGCATGGGCAATGAGGGGATCAAGTTTTGACATGCTGGACATGTATGTAGTATGCCTTATTCCCCACCAGCCATCGCATTAATGATGCATGGGATCCTTCACTTACTTCGCTATCTTAATTCTACACATGCCTTTCAATATTCGCAATCTTTCTAATTAATTTGGAGAGAACAAAGTTTGAAAAAAAAGGGCATGTTCCTTACTTTATGTCAACCTTTCAAAAGAATTTGTGGAACTTTATTCATATATATTCCACCTATGACTTGAGGCTGCTAAGCATATATAATTCCACTCAAAGTTCAGGCATTGAATTCATCCTCTCATGACTCTGATCATCGCTCTCCAAAATTGGGGGCATTCCACCACCAACAGTGTCCATTGGATTTTTGGTCCAGGATGGAAAGAGACAGCAAGTTTGATGAGAGTTCTTTTTCCTTTTTTAAACTCAGGCCATTCGTTCCGGTGTTGGAAAAAGTTGTTCTATTTTTTCCCCTTAAATAACTTTGGTTTGTTTGTTAGTCTATATATAAATATATATTCTGACCCATTTTTCTCTTCTATGTTATGCTTGTCTAGATTTTATGCATTGATTGATTATGTGACGTTTCTATTGAGGAAGTTTGGTCTATTAATTATGCTTACAAAATGGCACCAAAATTTTCAAGAAATACCAAAAGCTAAAAATCAATTCGATTACTTGTATTTTGCTATTAAAAATAAGAATAAAACATTAAAATAATAACTATTATCTCCGATACGAACAAACAAAAATTAAAATAGTATCTATATTTTTTATTATTATATCTTTTGATAGCCATAAAAGTTTTCAGAAAATTGGTTGGCTAAGATAGATTTTAATAAATTTGCCATCATTCATGAATCAAGACAAAAAGAATCACACTCCATGGACAAAAAGTATGACAATTGTTCCAAAAATAACGATAGAAAAGTATGCCTACGATATGACTAGTTGCATCGAGCCACATGCCTAATCACCTGCCTTAAAAGGATAAAACTGCCTAACATTCTATAGGGCACAGGGTTGAACCATCACAGCTCACATCATTACAGCTTACTAGGTTGTCTTTGTACGAGGTGAAAATTTTGGAAAATAAATGTTAAGAGATGACCTGCTAGAATGGATCACCCTCTTCCAAGATTTGATTAGGTTAATTAACTAATTAAATATTCGTACTACATTGTGATTAAATAATTATTAGATATATAAAGTTAATGATTCGTATAATGTGATGAGAGTAGATATTCTGTTTTTGAAAATTAATATAAATCGAATTTATATATTGAATAATTTTTTATTTATTTATATATATTTATTAACAAAATGATTTATAATATTAACATAAAAATTTATATTTGAATAATTAAGATATTCTTTCAAAACATTAATGATATAATAATAATAATAATAATAATAATAATAAACCTTGTGATTTTTTAACTATATATATATAACCAAATAAACCTTGTGATTTTTTTAACTAATTATTATTCAAAAAAAATTGAGTCAAATTATTTTTTAATTGGTTATTATTTCTTTAAAAAATTAAGTCAAATTATCTAAAACACATTATTAGCTCTCTCTCTCATATCGGAATTTATATATGTAATTACTCTACTCTTATTTAAAAATTATAAAAATAATCAATCGTATAAATTATAATAATATATTTTAAAAAATAAAACAATCATGTTCTAAAATTTTATTTCAAAATTCATATATAAAAAAATTAAATTTATTAACAAATAAAATTATATAAAATTAAAAAATTAATTCAATGAGAATTTAATAAGAAACAAATAATTGAAGAAATAATTTTAAACAATAAAAATAATGTAATCGGATATAAATGTTCAAAACTAAAATCTTAAAAAAATATCATGTATATTTTATTATCGTCAAACCATACGTAAAATTAAAAAATAAATTTTTTTTATATTTTAACACCTAATTTCATGATAAAAAAATATAAAAATAAATAATTTAAAGGAAAAAAAAAAAAGAAAGCAAACGGTTGGTTGGGACTATTTGTACAAGCCTCCGAACCAAGCCAAGCTTGCTTGAGTCCACTTCTCTAGCAGTACAACGATTAAAAAAAAAAAAAAAAAAAGGAAATGCTAAAGTAAATGAACAGAAAAAACCTAATTTTTTATTTTTATTTTTATAATATACAGTGTGTTAAAAATTCTATCGAAGCACTAGATAAATAAATTATGATATATTATATAAACCATATGATAAATGTATATTTGAGTTTTTTTTTAGCATATTAAACCCAATCAATTACATATGCATATATTATCCCAGCAAGATTTAAGATGGCGATGACCATAATGAAAGAAATTTTAACCAAACCGTCACTTCTCCTTCTATTATTACCCTTACAAACAACTTCTTCATCCATAACTACTAACTTGTAAACATGGAAATTTTTGTATTCTTAAAAAGTGATTGTGGACTGCATAACCCACCTTGCTGAGGGATTCACCCGAGTACAACTTGTCATTAAATGGTGGAGTTTTATCCATTAGCCCTATAATTAGTACCACTTCTATCATTCTGTTTTTTTTTTCTTCTCACTTTTGTTGGTTAAACACTCGTATAGTTCTTCAATTAAAACAAGTGCGTTGTACTTGGTTATTGGATTTGGAAGAAATGGCCATGCGCAGCGACGTGCTAGTTTTTTTTCCCAACAAAATAAGAGATATGCAACGTCCAAATGATCAATGATGAGTAAAAATCTTGCCAGGTGTTTTGACTTACTGTTTCTTAATGTCAAACACTTTTGTCATAAAGGTTGCCTGCTGGCATACGTTGACAAGGACGTAGAAGAAAATTAATTATACAATTCAGATATTTAAAGGGCTTCTTAATGTTTCTAGCTTGTACGTAGTGAGATAGAGTAACCAATTAATTATAACGTAATCAGCACCCAAATGCTATTATATATATATATATATATATATATATATATATATATATATTGGAATTTGGACGGAGGAAAATTGAAGAAAAGTTCAATTTTTAAAGAATCGCACGTTAATTAAGGCTCTGGAAGTGGGATCCACCAATTGCTGAAGTATCTTAGAAATTGGGAAGATACCTGGTCACTCTAGAAATTGTTGTTTTGAGTGAGTAGATATTGGGTTAGGTGCATTGTTTCAGGACCATTATTAAAAAAAAAAAAAAAAAAAAGGTCGACATGTTTTGCAACTTCTGTGTAACTTCTTAACTTGCTCCCTTTTTATTATTGTCGATAATAGATTTATCCACATCGAGAAGATGCTGGTTGTTGGGCAGCATGCAGAAGCTGGTCTTTCTATCTTACTGACTTCAATTCTTCGACAAATTGGTTCCTTTTAATGATCAACCGGTCAGCAGACAGGTGTGAATCATATCCTACTATATATATATATATATATATATATATATATATATATATATATTCTAAAATCCGTACATACTATGTTACTTTATTTAAGAATGGCAAAAATTATTACAATATTGAACCTTCCACACCTCTAATCTCTTGTAAACTATAATGACTCCATTCAATACATCATCCAGTCCTGTTAATAAGGTTTCCCTCTATTACTTACCAGATTCATCTCATGTGACTGCCCTGTGTCACAATCAAATTATTTTTTAATAAAAAAATTAATAGAATTTTTTTTATTCTGTAAGAATTAAAAAAAAAAACCTAAACTAAACAAAATTATTTCCCTCTTCAACTCCCTTTCTCCTTAAAAAAAAAAAAAAAAAAGAAAAACCAAAAAAAAAATCTGCTCATCTACAGTTTCCTCAAATGTCCCCTTAAATTTGTAACAATAAAGTGCCATTCTGCAAATTAAAGATATATATCCTTCTCATTCTCTCCCGTCTGTTTCTTGTCTTTCCAATCCTTTTCCTTACAAATTCTTTTATCAAAGCTCTAGAATCTGTTTTCAAATTGAATAATCAAGCTAAGAAGTGAAAAGTGTTACGGAGTTTGGTTAATCATTAAACAAAGGAGACTTCAAGGAAGTGGGCAAAGCAATGCTTGGTTGTGATTAAGATTTTAATCCCAAACATCAACAAGTTTTTGCTCCATTGAGAATAGCTCAATAAGAGAAAACAATGAAACCCATCTACCCATGAAAAGTTAATAATTGAAAACAGCCAAGGAAAAAAAAATGTCAGGCAACTCATAAAAAATATTCCTTCTGTATCAAATAGAATGTCTGCTTTTTTATTTATATTTGCCTCAAAATGCTTAACAAATCAAAATTTTAAGGTATCATTTGGATACCAAGAATAAAATATCTAAATAAAAATACAAAAATCAGAATAAAAATTCAAAAATCGGAATAACATTTGCATTTTCATCTTTATTTGGAATAATAAATACGAATCAAAATAAAATTAATTTTTTTTTAATATCTAATTTTCAAAATAAATAAGAATAATGACAAAAAAAATAATTCTATCTAATGTGATGATAGTAAAAATGATAAAAGTGAATGTGGTGGTGGTTGTGAAGAAGGAGGATGTGGAAATAATAATAATAATAATATACTAATAACGAGTCATATTTTTTTTAAAAAAAATCGATACCACCACCATAAAAAAATCACAATAAAAGAAGAATGATGATATAATAAAAGTAATTATGATGATGAAGGAGAAGAGGTGATAGAATCATAATAATATTTTTTTCTATCACCAAAGCTAATGGAGGTGGTGGTTAAGGAAGAGGTGGAGGGGGTGATTGTGATAGAAGTATTCAATATACAATAAATAAAAATAATATATCACCATTTTGAAGAAAAAAATTTATTTATTTATTTATTATTTTTATTCCCACCTCTTTCCATAGGATTGAAATCATGTTTAATTTTATTTTTGTAATACCCCAAACCATTACTAAATAAATTAAAAATTTATTAAAGGCGTGAGAAAAATATTTCACGGGCATGGAATAATTGTAAATTGGTTGATAGAATATTCGGTACATTTAGGATGATTTTTCAATGCTGAGTGCATATTTTATCTAATTTTTGGTGCATAAATAGTGACTTTTTATGCAAATTAATTATTTTAAGTATGATAAATGTGCACGAAAAATATTTTGTTTGCATAGAATATTTTCTAGAGGGTCGTTACATTGTTCAATGCCATTAGGTGAATTTTTTGATGCTCTGTGATTATTTTATATGAAGTTTACTATGCATAAATAGTGTTTTGAGGTACATTAATTAATTTAAGTGCTTTAAAGGTACAAGAAAATTATCCAATGGTCATAGAAAAATCATTTAGGGTGTGTAAGAATATTTCATGAACTTAGATGAATTTTTCTACGCGTAGGGAATATTTTTTTGTTGGAAACAATGTATTTTTACACTAAATAATTAATTAGAAGACTTAAATAAGTGTATAAAAATCATGTAAATGATAATTAAATTATTTTCAGAATTTTTTTAATTTATTATGAAAATAAATTGATTTTGAAAAGGTATGGGATAAAATTTTAGAATTAAGGACTTAATTACATAAAAATTAGGGATCTAATTGCATAGAATTAAAAATGAAATTTCAAATTAATTAGGTATGAACTTTAAGAGTCAAAAATTTGTTAAGAAACCTTTAAACGAAGGACCTAAAGTAATCAATTGGATAATTGAGGGACTTATGAAGGAGTAATTAAAGGAAAGATTAGCAACTTTAAGGATCAAAATTAAGCACTTTTTGGAAGAGATTTTTCTCCCTTTTGCCACCCGAGTTTAGCTCGATAATTAGGGTCTAATTAATGTATTCAAAAATCAAAGGATTAGATTTAAAGAGAGTGGTTAGATGGAGGGACAAAAATTAAAGAATAAATGGATGGTTAGAATGAAATCAATTGAACTACTAGGATTAAAAGAAAAATGAAGGGCCAAGATTAAACTAAATGAAGGGTTGTGATGGAGTTAACCAAAGGAAAAGGTTCACCTAATTTTCCTATAAATATAGGTGGTAGGAATTATGAAAAAAAATGTTAGAAAATTAGCAAAATTAGGGGAAACTCTTGCAAACTTTTCTTAGAACTCCACTCAAATTTTTACCTAAACACCCTAAATCAACTAATTAATTAAGGAATTCAAACTAGGAGATCAAGAATCACAAAGTGAAAAAATTTGAGTTTGGGCTGAAAATTCAAGCATAAAAAGGGAAGGAGAATTTTTCAAATAATCCAAGCTTTCAAGGGTAATTGGAGCTTATTTGAGTAAGCTAATCTCACCTACACCATAAGCATGTTGTAATTGATGTTAATTGTGAGTTTGAGCCCTTAATTTCGACTTAATTGAATTAATTGTGAAAATTAGGGTTAGAGTTCTTAGTGAGGTCAATTTGGAAAAAAATGAATTTAAACCATAAATTCATGCAATTGAAGTCTAAATATGTTAATTAGGCTTAAATTTGAGAAAGAAAAATCAAAACCTCCTAGGGTTAGGAGAGAGAGTGCATTTGGCCCAAACTTTGAAATTAGGGGTTTTTGATGTTTGGATTTCTTTGATGTTCTATTGTTTGATTATGTGTTGGTTATGTTTGAATTGATAATTGAGTGTAGAAATATTCATTAAAAATGAAGAATTTTCCATGAAATTCCTAGGGGTACATTCGGCCTAAATTCTTAAATTTTATGATTTTGATTCCTTTGAGTTCTTAATGAATTATTGGTTAATTAAGAGTTATTTAAGTATGAATTATTGGATGAGAGTGAGAAATCTCATAAAAATTGATGAATTCCACTCAATTTCTTAAGGCCCATATTCAACCCAATTTGGGAAGAAATTAGGGTTTTTGTGTTTTTGATTCCTAAGGGTATAATTGATCTATTATAAGATAGTATAGTCTGAAAAAGATGAATCAATATGGAAGATTTAGTTTAAAATGAAAAACTACCCTATTTTGACTTAGTTAAAGTTTCGACCCACTAGGCCTAAATTGTGGTTTTTGATGTAAATTGATGTGTAATTGATGGTTCCATGATATTTTGGTATGATGCGTGTGCTTGAAATATGAATTTGGATGCCTATGTGCCATTATGTATGTTTATAGCAAGTTTGTGTAAGGTTTGAATATACACCGTTATTTGGTTCTATGTTGAAATGTGGTTTGCTATGGCGAGTATGATGCGTGTGCTTGAAATATGAATTTGGATGCCTATGTGCCATTATGTATGTTTATAGAAAGTTTGTGTAAGGTTTGAATATACACCGTTATTTGGTTCTATGTTGAAATGTGGTTTGCTATGGCACTTTGTGATGATGATGTTGGGATTAGAATGTGAATCATGAGTCCTGGGTCATGATTTTGAGGTAAGACACCTATGATAATGGATGTTTATAATGTTATAAAATGCACCGTTAAAGTTAAATGTTGCGTATGGCATTTAATTTGGCATGTAAAACATAATTCATAATCATAATGCATCCGCATTATATGCACAAACACGCTAAGTTTATGAAAATAATTTAAATTCATGAAAAAGAGGATTTTATATCAAGGATTTTTCAATAGCAATTGGAAACATTTTATGGTTATTGGTTTTCATGGCTTTTATGATTTTTACAAGGAGGGCTTCATAAGTCTTTCATACCTATAATGGTTTGTGATTTAAAGTTCGGGGTCGATGAGGTGCGGACATGCATTTCCTAAAGGCTCGACAGGATACTTATCCGTAAACTAGTCCGATTCGTTAGACATATTATGAAAACTCGTAGTGTCTACAATGGAACATGTCCAAAGACGAAAAGAATTTTCAGATTATTCATGATGAGGATTTTATGACTTAAGAAAGAATTTTATAACAAGCATGCAAATGATTTTCATATTCGTATGCATTTCACCCATATGCATATCATCCATATATTAACTTACCGAGTTGTCACTCACCTATTATCTTGTGGTGTAGACATTATAGGTAATAATGGCAATGCTATCATGTGAAGTGATTACCAATGGATCGGTGCATCATGTGTATTTTGGATGTGGTTTATGCGATAAGGTACACCTCCTTCAAATAACTATTTTCTTAGTGCTCGATGCTATAGTTCATGTACTGGGTATGGTAGGTTTATTTTATGTAATAGTTAACACTATGAACAAGTAATTAAGTAAATGGTGATGTAATGTAAATAAGTAAATAATCCATTTTTGTAGTAGGTGGCAAAAGTTCTTTTGTAAATAAATAGATGTGGCTATATGTAACTAAACTTGAAACAAATCGGTATTAGTGGAGTAACTTAATTATGTTAGTGTTAGTGTTTTCTTAGTTACTTCTTTATGTATGAACACCAATAATAAACCATGATCCTTAAATTAATAAGCAAATAATAACAATAAAAGGGTAATTAAGATGAATAA